TCAAATAATGAAGGCTCAAGTAGTAAGTATCCTCCTCTAATTTTAAACATATTACTTCTTCAGCAGTGTACAGTGTACAACCCAAGACACATTGTTCGTGAGGCAAAAAAACACATTTTATTCGCTTTTGTGTTGCATTTTTAAATTTCATGGGAGTTGTGTGAATATTTCCAGTAAAATCTAAACACATAATTAAGTTATTACATGATATTAATTGGTATATCGGAAAATCTGGTAAAAGTACTTTTGACACACTTTGAAACATAAAGTTTTCATAAACGTAAATTTCATATTTATTCCATAGTATAAATATTGAGCTGCTTGCATTATAAATGATATTCAACGCTCCCAATGCCGGAAGATTGCATTTATAACACTTTGGACTAGGTTTGGAACACTCATCTATTTCCATTGTTTAAATTACGTATTTCAGAACATCTTCTCCCGAATAAAAATATAGGTAGTTAGGTACTCAGTACTCACTCTTTGTTTCAGAAAACTTTCAAAAATAAAAGCGCGCTAAGTTTTAAGACAAAATTCAAATGTTTCAGTTCAGAAACTTCAGAAACAGCAAACAAAACAAAAGTAGACGCAGCAGACATAATGTTGCCATTTACCAACTTAATTTTGAAGGAGGACCGTACCGTTGAGTAAAAAAGAGCGTATTTTGCAAAAAATCTAGTTTCATTTATGGCATGTATAGCTAAGGAGAGCCGCTTCACATGAGAGAATAGTTGAAAAAGTTTCCGACAAAAAAAAAGAAAAAGTTTCAGATATACAAAAGTACTCTTTGGTTTCCGATTTACATTCATATGCATTCAAAAAAGTTCAAAAACTCTCCACAACAGCGCTAGAGTCGCTAGAAGGTACCAAATTAACTTAGCAGTTGTTAACGGAGTGAAAAGTGTTGAGGAATTTAATATTTTTGGCGACAAGAGTAGTTGATGAAACTGCAGTATTTCAAACCTCAACTTAATTGGTGTATTCAGTACTGGTATTGGCTACCTTAGCACCACCAATTTAAAGGTTTTCGATGGACAAGAACGGACGGATAGTTTCAACAGAATAACTGGTCCAACGCTTAGTATAAGCACATAAAAAAATAGATTTTTAAATCAAAATTATTATACGTTAGTCCCTATCGTGCTCCTATCATACTCTAACCAAGAGCTAAAATTTACACACATTAACATTCTTTTATACATACTTAAATTGGATTATACTAACACTTTGAAGGTTTAAATTTAGTAAAGATCCGCTTTCTATAATGTGTTGTGCAGCCAACAAAATTCCATTCAGCGTTTCTCTCTGAGGTAATTATTTCACGTAATAAATGAACTAATACTTCTAGAAATTGGGATATTTATCTTATAATTCTTAAAATCATTTATAATTCGGACGGCGAATTATAGTTATATATTATTAGTTTAATTTGTAACAACTTGTGTTGGCTTTCGAAATGTATTGTTTCTAGGTGGTGTTTCATAACGTAACCTCCTTCTCAGAAAGAAACAAGAATATCACGATTAATTTCCATTCAAACTTAGTATTAAAACATGTTCAAATTGAAAGAATTTATGGGACTCAGTAGAATTTGGCGAAATCGACGAGAGAAAATTATAGTTTTATGAATGTGTTCACGACTGATAGTATGCGGTGTGAGGCTCAGGTGAGAAAGTGGATGCAATAAAGTCGTTTTCATCCCCCAAGACAGTCCGAGAGCTCCGTAGATTTTGCTGAATTTCTACCAACTGATCCATAGCTTAAACATGCTGGAACGAGGATTCTCATTGAAACTGCAGAAAATGAAGATCCAGAACAGAACATTGCGATATCAACACGCGCCAAATCTGCAAGCAAGTGTTTGATAGCTTGCACACATTAAGTTAACCTGGAGCCAACGCAACAATCAAATTAGTGGCAGAACGTTAAGTATGGCCTGGTATGAAGAAAGACAGGAGAAAGTGCGCACATACATGTCTAGTTTGTCACTGTACTAAGGTAACTAGGCATGTATCCTCGCCATTGGTAACCTAACATCTGCCTCGAGGAAGCGGATATTGATCTTTTATTTGTTTATTTATTTATTGCACATCCATTAAGTAACAAAAAGGTGTTAGGATAATTAGTAAAACAGTTCTTTATGGACCCTGTTTATAGGGCATAGTACAAAACCAATCAAAACAAATTCGGAGAGAGCAAGATGTATCTATCACATAGGTAATTTAATGAGGTACTTGTATAAGTAGTTGTTATTTTGAGTAGCTATATATTTTTATAAGTAACATTTATTAATTTTAATTTTAGATATTACTTATAAGTAATTTGTTTAATATATTTATGATGTGAGATCATTATGCGTTATTTATATCTATAATATCCAAAGGATCTCATCAGAACACTTCTGATATTATTTTTTTAATATGAAAAGGTAGTAAGCGAGCTGGCCATTCACCTGATGTTAAGTGATAACCACAGGGTTGCAGATGCGGTACCAATTTTTAATAAACGGCTTTAGAACCTCACCGAAGCTCGTAGAAGCGTCGGGTATTAAAAATTTATTTAAACTCGAAAGAAAAACGTAAAAAAGTTTTATTTAACAATTATTTAAGTTCGTGGAATTGTACGTAGCCTTTCCACGAGCTTTTCCCGATGTAGCTTTATATAGTCTACGGAGTGAAATCGCAAACATTAGTCATGTTTAAGATTAGGGACTTCTTAGTTTAATTAAATGGAATTTACAGCAGTTACAGAGGGCCCGCTATGAGTAAGTGTTCTATGAGCAGTAATATTCACGGGCTTGCAACGTTGAGACAAGTTTGACACTTGAAAAGGGGGAAAGATTAAAAAATAGTAACGTCCTCACAGTGAGCATTGTAAAGTAATTTATTTTTCAACCGTTTTTACTAAATAGGTATATGAAAAATAAAGACATCTTCGTAACATTGTTCATTTACTCATTAAAACAAAAATTATGACACCACATAAAAAGCTCGTCGTGTGTTTTTCAGGTTTATCTTTTTTTAATTGAGAAAGAAAATTTCATTAATCAGCTCTGTTTTATATGTTTTCTGGCTTATGAGGTCTTAATATATTGTAAACAAATTGCAAAATTTATGATTTGAAGGGATTTTGTTGTTACAAGTTTTGTATCAAATAATATTAAAGTTAAAGTTTATAAAGTATACAAGTAAAATAATACAAAAAGTATTAAATAACTTATTTTCAATGAGGTAATAAGAAACAATTTAGCTGTGATATAAATTTATACCATTTGAATTAGAGTAAATTTATTAACGGAACAGTTTAATTTACGTATAATTTTATGATGATTTTGAGCAAAATGTATGAAGCATAAAAAATTATATCTAAATTTTTCGTGAGATACAAAAAAATATTAATAACTCATAAAATCATGATCCTAAAATTTGTGTACCTAACTACGTCCGGTTTCAACATTCTATCTACAAATAGAATTTTGGCGTAAGTATTATGGAGCCAATGTCAAATACATATCGATAATAACCAAATCTATCCGTAGATAGAATATTGACGGGCCATTGTGGCGTTTTAGTTCATAAATGCTCATCAAAGTTCATTCAAAAATTGTTCATTTAATTGTTTTTAACATTTTTTAAAAATGAAAATATTTGTTTTTAATAATGTGCGTAATCGAGGCTCTTTTTGCTAATATTACACGATACTGGAACATCATTTCTGGTTTCAAAGCCATGATTGCAGATTGATTGTCCGATTTGTTATTACGAAGAATATTTCTTTGTATGATTAATTTTATGTTATATACAAGTTGTAATAAGAATAAATACATAGTATAATATTAAATACTTAAATGGAAATCCGCAATGGTATTTTCCCGTTGAAATCTAATTGGCACACTTTCACATTCACTAGCAAAACTATATCTAGTAATAATTAGAAACTAAAGAGGTTCAAATTTTATTATAAGTACATATATTCTAAATTCGCAAAATGAAGGTGAAAAAGTTATTTATATATTTAATATTTACAATCAAAATTTGATATGTTTCCTTATTGCGGTGGCTATAGTTAATGAATACTATTGATTAAAAATACATTTGTGCGCGACCGTAGCCAGAATTCATATTGTCAGAGTTCCAATTTACAAAAAAAAGTTGTAACATGGTTAAATTTTTGAAATACATATTCTGTCAGATTTTCATTAAGGCATGCTTTATTTATGAATTGTTTTTAAAAATTACTCTCTTTTATCGGTTTCCCGTTTTTTAATTTAGTTATGGAAGTTTACATTACCTTCATATTATCAAGAATTCCAAAGTAAGCGTTTGAATCTTCTCCCTCCTAGCTACGATTGTATATTTGTGTAATAATCATGCGTGGTCGATACAAAAACGCGGTACTGTTAAGTAAATGCTTAGGTAATACTATGGTCATTATGTCTATATGTACAATATTCTCAGATTATTGAGTATTATAATTGCACTTTTGTATGCTTTGTCTTCATAAAAATAAATATTCACTCTCGATACAATACATTCAATCTTGATGATGGCATTCTTGTTACTATACATCCAAATCAGTTATCTGGGGTAACTACAATAAGTCATAATATTTTCGATATATCTAATTATGTTTCAGTCTGGTTTTGTTTATGGAAAGTCTATTAATTTATATTGAACAATTTGAACGGTCGGTTTGAACCAGTAGAGAAAACAATGATGATGATTCTGTTTTGGATGCATAGTATGTCAATTTTTCACCAATATATCATACCCTTCCATTTATCATGACTGAAACATTGGCAACAAAATACATTCTTGTGCATCCTCCAATTTTAAAACACACATTGTTTTTCATAGTATTAACAAAAATAATTAATTCACTGTCTTCTTCACTGGCATGAGTTTCAAACGGAGTCTGTTGTTTATAAGTGTGTCCAAGACGCGGGAAATAATTTTGTACAGACCGCGCGCGCCGACGCCATCTTGGTTTCTGTGTTACTTTTTAATGTCGGGGTCCATTTTAGTCTTGTCCATAGATGATGAAACCATACCAGTTTGAGGATATAATTTGTCTAAATGCTTGAGCGATTCATTCAAGAAGTTCTGCAACAAACAATATTTATTTTAATGAAAAAATTTAATACACCAATTTAATATTTTTATGGGTGAAGAGGGTTAGTGTGTTGGTTGTTCATCTGATGGTAAGTGACAACCGCGGCCCATGGACATTTGCATCACCCGTTTATAGGGTAGCAGAAGCGTTATCATCTTAAAAGTGGGCCCCGGCTACCACATTCACCAGTTGAAACGCAAAAGTATAACACTTCCATTTCATGCTGGTCTTCTGTGAGGTCGTGGTATTTACCCGGTCGGACCTGCCCACTAGTGGCAACAGCGAAGACTGTTGCGTGGCCTTACCACCATGAAATTCTAATAATATAATTTCTAAATTAATACACTTAAAAAGTTTCGTGTCATGTAAAACTTTTTGGTACTTGCATTTAGTTATTGAGGATTTCAACTGGTGGTAGTCTAATGCCTACCGACTTTTCTTATTATGTGTTACAATCCACTGGCAACACTACTTAATATACGAGCAATAACAATAATTATACATAATAAACATTGAACCATATCTGGTATAATATTATATAATAATAACCATGCTTAATAATAATTTATAATTTAATAGGTCTATCTTATTAACTGTATTAGTAATTTAATAAGTGCATTGATTTGTAATGTAGTTGTGATGACTCGTTATATTTTTGTATATAAGCGCATAATGTTTCAGTAATAGGGTAGAACACTCTTATCCTTTGTATAGGACGTTACTCTGTCCTAATAAGTAGGAAGTAGTCTAATTAATATATAAAGTTGTTAACGCTATCCTCACTATTATATTTTGGCCGACCAACCTACAGTCTTTAATATATGCTTAAAAATTATCAATAAACTTACACCATAGTGACTTAATAGTTTAGGGAAGCATGAAATAGGTCTTTAGCAAATTGGGATAAACTGTATACACCGGGAAGCATTGTCATCCGTGTTAATACGTCAAAAAGTAACTCCTTTTCTTAACGTTTTACGAAGGAATTTCAGTGTTATTTCCTATAGTCTTATATATATATATATATAGTATATATATATATATATATATATATATATATATAATGTCACCAATACTTGAGATACGGTGGTAGGTTTTCTTTCTTTTTACCTTTGTTTCTTGCTTTTTTTTGACGTTAGTACCTACCTGTATAGCCGTGAGTGCGGCCACAATAGCTGGGCCCCCGAAGCCGTGGGAGATAAGCGAGAAGTGAGTGAGGTGTCGCTGTATAGCCGGCTCTAGCAAATGTGGCGGTCGCGTGTTGCACAGCGGGGACCTGTCCTGGTTAAGGAGGTCCATCAACTCCTTTGTCACCTGGCAAATGAATAGGATAGTTTTCTTTGTTATGTTTAGGAAGTACATAGATAGCTTATATGTTCTTAAAATTAATATATTAAATTAAACAGAAATTTTACTGCGACGAATGTGATGAATATGATTTACGATAAATATAAATTATTATATGTTTATTGTGACTTGAGTTCCTAATATTGTGACCATTATTATCGTTAACATCATGATTTAGGATAAATAAATCATTAAAAAATTTCGTAACAAACAATTTAAATGATCAGCTATTCTTCTGTACGCCCACTTATGATCTATATGTAAATTAACAATTATTTGCGTAGTTGACGCGTCACAACTTTTATTATTGCCTATTTAGAACAAAATAAAATTGAGATTAAATTTTGAATTACCGCCAAAATAATAGAAAAAGCCAAGAAAGAAATATTATTCTCCAATTTCAAAAAAAGAACGAGCTATTGATGCTTTTTTAAATGTTTCTAATTAATTGTCCAAGCGGCCTGTAACAGAAAATAAACTCCTACATGTGTAAGTCATTTTGTAATTAAAAGTAAGATAATTATGTTTTATATTTTATGCATTTAATGAGTTTTTTATTGGAGTGGCTATATTATTGCATGATTAATAATTACTGAATGTGTATATTTTTAACGAACATTTGTACGTTGAAGTTATACTTTCTTTATTCATAAGTGTTTCTAATTATATGACCACCGCTGTATATATATTATATTACTATTAAGTAATCTCTAGGAATCCTCTGTTACCTGTTTGGTGGCCTGCAGAAGGTCGCGGCGCCGCCTCGCGTCGTGCTCGGCGTATTGGCGCGCGAGATACTCAGCGAGCGCACGGGCCGGAAACTCCGTCTCGCAAACGTAGCCGAAATCGCGCGCCAAATGCACCGCTTCCGCTGAAAGCGACCATAAACATGTTTTTTTTTAATTTTACAGACAGCATGGAATGTATAGCGAACATATTCGTCGTGTGATATTAATCACAATGGGTTAAAACACAATTACATAACATAACATACAAATACATAACTAGTTACGTACTAGTTCTACTTTCTAGTTTACTGTTCTATTGACGTCTGAAACGAACAAATGAAAATTGACTCGTAGCGTATAGCTGTAGCCTCCTCATATTTTGTAATATGTATTACCTTCTACAAGCGACGTGAGTAACGTCACATTGGCAGCTTTCCGTCTTCCCGCTGGCAAATTGAGTCCGATCTTCTCTAACTTCTCCCGTAGTAACCTTCCGCCATTTTTGCTTTTCGCTCTGCAAGGATTAAGTAAAATATTTTTAATCATTTCGATCGATATGGTAAAATTGAGTCGTATTAGTAGTTACTCCAAATTAACGTTATTTGACTCCGTAAAGTTAAAAGATGTGTCTGAAAAAAAAAAGATTTATCTAATAATTTCTTGTATTTACGCGATTACACATTTTTTTTACATTTTCGCGTTTATTTTTAATTTTAATTCCCGATTCGGATATTTTACGATTTATATAGGTTTATCTGTTAATTAAATCCGTGTGAAATTAGACACCATTATCATGTTCAATTCGACAGTCTTAGAGGCGTGTAATTCATTTAATTATTATTGACGGTTAGTATCAGCACAAAACGGAGGACGAAAAAAGGGTGAGATTTTTTGTGTGTACAATGGCAATAGTATCAAGTTCTATGTCTGTGGGGAGTTTATTTTCAAATAATCACTTATTATCGGTCGGTGCCCAAAAATATGTTTTGCTTAAACTATTTGTAAGTTTCTGTACTCCAGAATTAATTTTTATCAACACGTCCTAAAATTCTTTTTTTTTTAATATTTCACGACTTGATTGGTGTAGTAAACAAATAAACCTGTCTGTTACACCAGAGGGTGTGGGTTCGATTCTTACTACATGAAAATACCGTGTGATGAACATAGTGTTTTTAGTGTATTTAACATTATTTACTTACAAAAAAGAAAAGTATCTTTATCAGTTACCTACCTAACTATCATATCATCCGTAATACAAACTGTGCTTAGTTAAAGTCATCATCATCATCTAATCCCACACTAAGTTTTTTTGGATTAGATAACGTTGTATGTATATTTATTTCTATGACATAAATCAAAACGTCTTAACTACACCAACACATATTTCTACGAGACGTGTGTGTTTGTGTTTTTTCAGGTATCAATATGATTTTTAACTTTTGACAGTCTTATAATAAATAAATAAAAAAACTTATAAAAAGTCTACTGTGATGAAATAAACAAGAAAAACTACTAGTAGGTTAAATTAAAGTAAAAAGAAAAACATTGGCAAAACCTACTTTTATAAAAAAAATGCATGCATAATCTTTTTTTTTAATTCAAAGTATCAACTCCGCGGTTATTCAGAACCTGACGACATCGGCGGTTTATCGATTCTATAAGAATGCAATAGGTTCTGCAGTCGTCAGGTGGTGGATATACTGTCCAGGTCTTTTAAGTTTCCTCTGGAGCATATCTCTCTCGTGCTCAATCGTGTCCGGTGGGCTGTCCACGGCAGAAATTGAATGTTCTCTTGCACGAGCCATTATTGAGCCCTCCTGGCTGTATGACAAATGTTCTCTTGCAAGAGCCATTATTGCGCTATATGACAACGAAGATTAGAATGCAACAGGGTAAATAAATATATTGCTATAATGTGTTTCCCATGAATCGGCATTCAAGACTTAAAAAATGAAAAAAATGTGAATAATAAGATTTAAAAAATTTAGCAAACAAATAATTTGTAGAAAAACGAATAATTGTTAGTCAATTTGCTTTATGAGTATTTTTATTATTTCAAAGATGTTTAGAACCTGAACCGTGTACTGTTACTGCTTAAATAAGAAAAAAACGTTCATGCGTGTATTACTATGACAGGTCGTACGCTAGCGTGCAGTAGTTTTGCTACCGACCGCTAGATTGAGCTACAGATAACCTATCGATTACCGTCAAAACTGTAGAGCGTGATTGACGTCTAGAAAGTTAGTAAAAAACAACTTTAACATATTCTTTAGTTAAGTAAGTGACTTACTCGCGTTGGAATAAAGTTAAAATTGTAACGGTGTCGGCTACGAATATTTCGATAATAGTAGGGTAGTGTCCGAAACAGGCTACCAGTATTAACCGTCGAAATGAAGGCTCGTTAACGAAATTGTTTTCGATAAATTTCTTCGACGATGAGTTTTCTCTACAAAGTGAAGGTTGTCGGTTACGTTGATTGATTGAATGAAAAAAAATCTGGAATCTTTTCGTAGCAAGTGAGATTCATCAGTAGGAAGTTAACCTAAGAATTCATTCTGATATAGTTATGGCAGCAATACATTTAATGTGTATTACTACCATAGCAGTTATTGGGTTAATTATATTATTGCGTTAATATAATTTAATAAATGTTATGTATAATATTTAAAATTTTAATTTTGATTTGTTTGTGGTATATGCTAGGGTTTTTGTTCGAGTTAACTAAAATGGAATATTTGTTTGTCTAAAACAGTTTTTTCTGGTTGGTTTGTAGTATAGATGAATTAGATTTTTATTACCGTCAAGATTACTTCCGTGTCGCAGAAAATGTTATTTAATTAATAATTAAAAACTAAGTTATCCTATCGTATTGCTAGTATTTAAGAAAATTCTGTTTGTATGGGTAAGTTTCTGACTCTTCTATAAAAGTCTCCGTTATTCCTAGTACGATAAGATAATTCTGTATCGTGATTCACATATGTTTTGCAAATTGACAATGAACCAGGTCCGGAGAATGTATAATTTTACGGTGGTAGGGCCACGTAGCAGCCTCGGCTGTTGCACGAATGGGCAGGCTGGTTCGGATAAGTACCACGAACTTACAGAAGACCGGCGTAAAGTGAAAGTATAATAATTTCGCGTTTCGTCTGGTGAGTGAGTTAGCCGGAGCCCAATTTTCAAAAGGTTGTCAACGTATCTGCAACCCTCGGGTGTAGCAGATGTCATCAGATCAACCGCCTACTCGCTTGGCAACTTGTCACATAAAATAAAATAAAAGAAACTAAATATTTTTCTAGTCTGTGCGTTTAGGCAATAAAAAATCGTTTTATGCCAAAACCGGCCATCGACATACCTGTAAAAAGGTCGTCTCGATAAATAAAAGACCATAAAAGTAAACTAAAGTAAAGATACAGCCTGTATGTTGGGCAAAGGCCTCCACTGTACAAAGGAAATTAGGGTATAGTCCACCACGCGATCCCACTGCAGATTGGCGGATTTCACATATCTTCGAAATATTGTTTTTTTTATTATTTCGAAACTGTGCAGGTTTCCTCACGATGTTTGTTCTTCACCGCCGAGCGCATGATATCGAGGATAGATCTCGGGTTGCTCAAGTATATTGAATTAAATGAAGCCGAATCACAAGTATTAAAATTTCATTAAGAATTTAGTGTGATAAGTAAAGATATTTTTTGTAACAGCGTTTTTGCGCGGTCCTAATGACTTCTAATACTCAAACTCAAAGGCATTTGTGTGAAGAATGAAAACGTTAACTATAAAAAAGTTTCATCTTAACTTCCATGGGTATTAATTTTGCGTATGTGTTATATGATGTGGATAATTTACATGTCGTAGATTATTGTCATTGATTATTAGTCAATTGAATATAGGACAATTAGCTTAGTTTAAGATGGACAAATAGGTGTCTGATATAAATTTATTGCCTATGCCATTTGGTACAAATATAAAAACGGTAAAAATATCATGTCTGTTCTATGGGAACCTTACTTAAATATATTTTTATTCTGGTTTTTTGTATTTGCTGTTATAGCGTCAACAGAAATACATCTGTCTAACTATCACGGTTAATGAGATACAGCCTGGTGACCGACGGAAAGACAGACAGACAGACAGACAGACAGTGGAGTCTTAGCAATTTGGCTCCGTTTTACCCTTTGAGTACGGAACACTAAAAACAAAATGCCTTCTCAAATAACAATTTCAAATTAATTTCTATACATGTGGTATCGCAGTAAGATAATGTTTTTTTAACATAATTAATATTAGATGCATATCGAATTATGTTGACAAGTAACTGTAAGTATCAACTCATTAGATCTATTGTGCGAATGTAGAATTTAGGTTATGATAATAGTACATAGTTACAATAAAACATCCGCACAGATAAAAAAGATGTTTATTTAGTCTGTGCTGATTCATATTTTCACACGTCCGCTTAGCCAGTAACAAAAGAAATCCGATTCATTTGCGGCTAACGAGCCAAACAATGGTGAATTTTGAGTCAATGGAAAACTAAATCGAATGAATCGACACATTGGGATAAACTAATGAGTGAGATATCGAGTGTGATTCGTACGTTCCACTATTCGATTAAAGAGATTATCATTCGGCTATGTGAGTTTGATTTGTACCCATATTTACGACTTTAATGTACCGTTCGAGTGTTTTTAGCGCGGGTAAACGTTTTTATCCACGTTCGATACATTTTAATTGGAACGTATTGTCACAGTTAAACACAATATTAAGATGCAGATAGAATTCCAACCGGAGTTTTATTTTTTGAAACTAAAATCCTCAAAAAATTTGTCACCAAGGCTTAGTTTTTTAATTCTTCGTCGTTTCTTCATGTTTCTTCACGTCATTCTTCTTTATGTTTTTGTATTTGTATTTTATGTGGAAGGATTTAGGTAGTAAATCCCAATGACCACTGCAATTTAGAAAAATCCATTGTAGTTTTTTCTTCGGAAATATCGCCCCCTTACTGTAAATGAAATCAAATGAGAATGAAATTTTTGGTAGAGCCACGCAGCAGCCTCGGCTGCGAATGGGCAGGCTCGTCCGGATAAGTACCACGATCTCACAGAAGACCGTAAAGTGGAAGTATGACAAATACTTTTACGTTTCGTCTGGTGAGTGAGGTAGCCGGAGCCCAATTTTCAAAAGGTTGTCAACGCATCTGTAACCACTTAAAGTCATGTGAACCGCCTACTCGCTTGTCAACTTTTCACATGCATAAATTTCACGTGGACAAACACCCAGAACAAAAAACAATTATCTACGCGTCACTCGGCGCCAAAGCTTGTACCATGGCCACTGCGCTTCGGAGTCATCTTCTTGTATCTTGTATTGACTGATGTCAACGCTTTCAGTTCCGAGACTGTTAAAGCTTCATCGAACGCAGAAGCGGTGGGCTAACCGGAGTTTGAGGCCCGCCACAGTAGGTATGACCACGCATGATCATCCGTGCGTTAGCTAAGGAGTATCGCCTACAGGCAATCGATTAGTCGGTGGCTGGGGGCGGTGAGAACCATCCTATGCGAGGTCAAACCATGGTGTTAACTGTTGCACTAACAGTGTGCGTGTATCTGGCGGGTTGAAGTCATCACTCTGCCGTTTGTTAGTGCCACATTTATGCCGCCTAACTTCCTTGCAGCTGCCCTGGCTTTAGACTGAATGAACCGCCCAAAGTTGAGGTTTGGGGATATTTCGACTCCCAACAACTGAAGGCCAAGTTGAAAGGGCTCCTTTTTGCGGAAAAAAGACACGCCTTCGTTTTGGAGGCGTTGAATCTCACAAGATTGGCATCGCCCCATTCAGAGACCGCCTGCAATGTAAGATTCAAACGCTCTGTCATGTTCTCTCTTTCGGACTGGATATAACCTCTACTGACCATAGGACTCAGGTTTGTATCCCTCCACAGCTGTGCTGTCGTCTGCGTACCCATAGACACCGGGCATGAGCAGATCGTTGATATGCAGCAAGAAAAGAGTTGCGGAAAGGACGGACCCCTCCGGAACTCCAGCATTTGTCGTCAGTGGCTCGGATGAACATCCTTCACCCAACCGATTAGGCCAGGATGATATGCCGTACGCTGGAAGCTTGCTGAGGAGGCTGGCGGGCCAGACCCTGTCAAAGGCCCTCGAGATATCTAGGGAAACCACGAGTGCTTCACTATTGTTCTCGAGGGCCTCGCCCCAAAGGTGAGTGGCGTACACTAGGTCCCCAGTTGACCAATTTCGGCGAAATCCGTACTGACGGTCACTGAGAAGGTCGTTGGATTCTAGGTACGCCATGAGGCGGGCTTTCAATATACGCTCCATATTCTTACAGAGTATGGAGGTAATTGAAATTGGTCTGTAATTGGCACGACTACCCTTTTTTGGAATGAGCTGTACATTCGCCAGCTTCCAGGACTTAGGGAGTACTCCAGTCTCAAATGAGAGGCGGAACAGACGTGTCAGAACAGAAGAGAACTCGGGTGCACAAGCCTTCAGAACTAACGCCGGTATACCGTCTGGTCCACTAGCTTTGTTCACGTCCAGACTCCTTAAGGCTTTTAAGACCTCGCGGTTTTTTATACGAACCTCCTTCATGGAGGTTTCGGAATTAGGGAGTGGTGGTGGTGAATTGCTCCCAGGGTCCAGACGTGAATTGTGGGCAAATAGAGAGGCAAATAAATCGGCCTTCTCTTTGCTCGCATGTGCCAGTGATCCATCTGGTTTTCCGTTCCAAAATGTATATAAAAATGCACATTGCGTCGTGTTGATCGCTTTCGATACAGTCACATGTCGTGAAGTAAATTGTTTGAAGTCATGTCATGACGCGATACGATCATTATAATGGAAACTCGTTTTCGAAGTGTAATTCGGTCATCTAAATGTTCCCGAATTCGATGTACCGTTCGAGTGACACGATCGGAAGTGTTAACCTGATATTTATGACTTGAATGACAGACAGATAAATGCTATAACTTTTTTATGTTTATTTTATTTATACATGTGTGGAAACTTGAACTTGACTCTATTAAATTCGTTTATATGTGAACTGGAAACTTAATAACTCGCTAAATGCTGCTTTCAGCAAATTAACCTTAAAGAAGTTAAATTTAGTTAACATTAAGAGCCATCCATTTTAGAATTGCAAAGTCTTAGAAATTATGTCGATTGGGATTCGGAAACATAAACCTATTGCAATTGCAATCCAGTGGGATATAAAATACATTTTAAAAATTTCAAAGATTTTTGTTTGTTTCTTTTTGTTTAATTTTATACCACGCGTGCACCTATTGTGGTTGAAAAAAATGTATAGATTAAGTAAGTTGAACTTCTAACATCTGAGTCTGACAGGAAATAACAAATAATTGAGTAATTTTTAAGTAATTGTAACGTCCTTAATTGAAATAAAGTAATAATCAAGTGCGGTCATAAATTCAAAATGACGCCGTAGACAGGTTCATCAACGGAGTGTGAAGTTTTGGGGAAGATGTGGGGAGAATGAAATGTGAATACATCTTTTTAGAGTTCCGTAACAAACGGGACCCTATTACTAAGACTCCGCTGTCTGTCTGTCTGTCTGTCCGTCTGTCCGTGTGTCACCATGGTTAGATGTTAGACCTCATGAAATGTGATTGTTAGACTGTGGAAATTTTTACATATGATTTATTTCTGTTGCCGCTATAACAATACTACAGAACAGAATAAAAATATTTATGTAAGGCTCCCATCCAACAGACATGATGTTTTTATAGATAATGGTACGGAACCCTTCATGTGCGAGTCCAATTCGCACTTGGTCGGGTTTTTCATCTGTACAATTTTGACAAGCTCGTATACTCGTATCGTATATATCTAGATTAATAAAGTCATATCGTTAGGTAATTTCTGTTTGGACTTCAAATCTAATACCATTTTTTATGACCGTTTTTCGAAGTATTTATGGGGAATTCTAGTTATTCTAATCGTCTCCGATGTGTTGTTGAACGTGAGGCGTTTGTTACGCGGTTCTTTTGTGTTGTAATTGGATTTTGGTAGTCGTGGTCGTGCATTTGAGAGAGGATTACTAACTGAACGTGGCGTTTTAAGAAATATAAAAAATAACTTGTAACTACATTTGATTGTCAAAAAGTGATTATTGGTTGCCATGGTAACACCATGGTGTACTCAAGGGAACGGTAATGCTTGACCAAACCTTCATGTAACTTGTGTCGCTTTTAGGTGTCGCGCATGGTAAAAATTCACCCTAATCCTTTTTCCCAAACGCAGCATGATTTTATTTTTCAAAAACGTTGCCCTTACTTTAGGATAAAATTAACCTGGGTTGTAAGGAAGACATGCATTCAAAAGCAGAAACAACTCACCGTCGGAGCACTCCCCCCAACAGCGAGGCGTTCAGGCATTCCGGCGGCGAGAGCCTCCTCTGCACCTCGGCTACCGTCACTTTGTACTTGCTGGTTGAGGATAGCAGCGACAGTCTGCCCGGCACAGAGCAGAACACGTCGTTCGGCGCGCACGACCCGTTCCCGCCCAAGCCGTCGCGGCCTTTCATAGCTAAAAAAAACATTTTCAATCTGTTGCATGTATACAACATCAATGGGCCCTTTGAAGATGATAAATGAAGAGGAAAAAAGTATCAACAGTATTTTTTTCAAAATGTTGTTTGGGAGAATCGGCATACTGTAAAGTTGCTCACTAGATGGTGCCAAGCGTTGCTAAAATGCAAATAAAGTAGATAGTTGTCGAGATTTTCACGCTGGATATCCGGATATACTAATAGCGGCGCCGAAAATTTATCTATTAACCTCACATTTAAATTTCATCTTCAGTGCAGATTAGTACTTAAAATAAAAAAATAATATTTCTTTGCAACACTGCTATATTATAATTTATGTATAAGTAGAAAACGTTAAATATTGTTAAGGAATATCACCGGCAAGGAGGAATATCGGCATGTAATTTTTTAAAGAAATGTTTTTTATACACCCAATGTCGGTTGGAGCGCTCGTGATTACAAAATAGCCGGCTTCGAATATCAACAATGGCAACTCTAACAATTACCGCCACGCCCCAAACATGCGCCCAGCGTGATCACCATTCGCATTGTAATATTCCTATATAGCAACCCTAATACAATAAACATTACCGTGTCATTAGTACGGGCACCATACTGGTTATTTCACACCGTGTAGCTTTTTAAAAGTGCACTTTTATTAGCGGCCAATTATGTGCTGGAATTCGAATGAAGTTGAATTAGAAATATGTAGTTTAAATATATTTTTAATTAAAAGTTATTTATTACAGTTCAAATGTGTATCAGTTGTTGAATGAGAAAAAAAATTAACCATTATACAAAAATTATCAATTTTTTCCACCACACCAAATTTAGTGGAAACGTGTACATTTTATTGCTCTTATTATATTAATTCAATTCGATAAGATTTGAAAGGAATAACATAATTTCTATAAGAGTATTTGTACTTATTTAATAAATTTGTATATGTACACGTATTTAGGTACTTCCTAATTCTGCATTATTTAGTGTCTTTCTTAACAACCCAATAACAATGTTCACAGGCTGGAAATATAATAGGAATTAAATTTTATTCGATTTTGTCCACTGTAAACAAATACTTTTTATTCAATCGATGTTCTGACTCATAATCGTTTTAGTTGCTGGCCGAAACAAATTACGACATCAGTAGCAAAGACGATGTACCAACGACTCCCATTTCCAAATTTGAATACACGATTTAAATGCGGAATGATTGATCGCCCCTTTTATTTCTTTGATATCGATTCATTCGGCCGTTGAATGAGATGGGCCTTTACAATCTACTTAGAAAAATCGATACACCTATGCGATAACTTCGGTGCGGGGCCTAATTACTAGCTTATCTGCTACGGGTCATCTATATGAGAGCAACAATAAAAATATTTGATATGTTAATAACATGTATTTATCTGTACGATGTTCGTGCGATTTAAATTGGGCACATCTCTTACGGTCAGCAGAGAATATCATATAAATATTTGTTTCTCGATGTTACTTTGCTCTTTAAAAATCATTATTTCTTCGTATATATATGAATCATCCTACTTCTGTCCGTTTTCTGAGTAAATGTAATTTAATTTAATTTAATTTTTAATGCTAGAAGGTGGCAAGCGAGTTGGCGGTTCACTTGATTTTAAGTGATATATCTCACTACCCAGACGAAACGCAGAAATAAAAAAAAAAACTATCATTTAACGCTGGTCATCTGCGAGGTAGTGGTACTTCCGCGGACGAATCTGCCCATTCGCACAGCGAAGACTGTTGCGTGGTCATTCCACTGCCACAGCCAAATAATATTATATAAAAAAAAAAGTCTATTAAGAAACCCTACTTCAAAAAATGGCCAAGACTATCATAAGAAAGAATAAGATAATTTGGCGAAATTTAGAAACTCATTTTGGTATGAATTTTGAGTGAGAAGTTTGTATGAAACATTCTTAAGTTTAATGCAAGTTTAGAATTTACATTTACACTACGTTCGCGTTAGTATTTAAATTATTAATTTTTATGAACGAAGAAACATACACGTTAAACAATAGCAGAAATTGCTAAAAACTGCTCGAAAACTAGTTTGCGATTTTGGCAGTAGTAGTAATGGGACGTAGACAATATATTTTTTTTAAAGTTTCATTGCTACCCGTACTAAGAACTCGCATTACGAATGAGTCGACAGAAAAAAATCGAGATCACTTTGCTCATACCGCCGTCTGGGGTTTCCGTTCAGAAATAATTATTTATTTACTATAAGCTTGTAATGAAGGATTTTTTTTCTAGAAACTTTTTCACCTTAGTCTATTAAACTTATGCCATTATTAGAGCGTTGGATTAGAAAAAAATTTGATGAGCGTAGTAACACTTCCCTGTTATGATGTATATGATAACTTTTATTTCAATGTTGATATTAATGAAATTATATTAATATTAATTTTCCGGAATCAGTCTTTTTATTATCCTATGTATTACACTGCCCAAATAAACAGAACAGCTTTACTATGCATTCCGAACGTAGCGTACTGTTTATTGAAAACCAAATAAGCTGTGTTTATTTTGTAAAGACACACAGCTTATTAAGCTGTAATTATTTTGTAAAGTGCAATTGTGGTAGGTCCACATAGCAGCTTTTCGCTGTTGGACCAATGGGCAGGTCCGTCCGGTGAAGTACGAAGACCGCACAGAAGACTGACGTGAAATGGAAGAGTTATACTTCTGCGTTTCATCTAGTCAGTGAGGTTACGGGGACTCACTTTTTTGAAAAGTTTCAACGCATCTGCAACCCTACGAGTGAATCGCCTGGTTTGCCATCGTCTTACATAGAAGAAAGTTTGCATTACGAAACAATTAAAGTACATAATGTTGAAAACCAACAGTTTCTCTGTCCGTAATGTGCTCGGGAAAGTACCGCGACCTCACATAAAAACGTAACGTAGCATAGTTTGTTAAGTTGCATGTTTGCAATTCATCCAGCCAGTCCACTCTATAAAATATTGGTAACGACAATTCACGTATGTTATAGATGTACTGTGTTGGGCAGTAGTTATTTAAAATGAGAACATAAACTGACCTGCCTTCTGATGTAAAAAAAATATTGTTACTTACTCTTTAATAAAGGAAGATCCGTCATAAATCCCGTCGTGTCGTCCATTCCGGCATTCTGTAAACGATGGAAATAATAAGTGAACAATGCACGATCTTCGATATCGGTATGTTATCTTTAGCATTATTAAATGGCGGAATGGGCAAGCAATATCGTTAAAAGTATTCACAAGTACAATATCGCTCGGTCCCGATCGCCCGTTTTAATTCGCATAGCTTATTAAATTCTCGGCCGGATAGCGGAAATATTTGCTTAGGATATCTATTCACATGTTACATATATGCGCCGAAATAGTACTATAGAAATAATTTTTTTTTTGGTTTCTATTAAAAAGGTATTAGAAGGTTAGAAAATTTTGTAGAGGAAGCTCAAAGTGAACTAGTTTTCTTTAATAAATGTTTGTCTTTTTCTGTCTACATAACCTCTGCAGGGTTTTTTTCGTCCTTGGAATTTCGGATAGTTTCGGAATGAAAAGTAAATAAAACCACTTTTCCGTTCAACAGTTCCCTTCAAATATAGGTATATCATTGTGAAAACATATCACAATTCATTACTTCCTTTTTGAGCTTTGTGGATCCAAACACATACTGTAGTTTTATTTATCTGAATGATGTTATAATCGCGTTTTGTGGAAGAGTTTTACAAACAAAAAACCCGATGATGTAAATACTCGCTCGATGAAACCCACGATCTGCGATGCCAAAGTCTAAGTTCAAACGCTAGTTTAATCAAATACAAATTATTAGTCGCAATAGGCGCTCAATCGTACTTCATCGTGGATTTTGAAGGTCGCAAGTTCTAGATAAGTTGCTTGTTGTGAGTAGTGACGACGTATAAATAATGGTGACACCGTCTAGTAACAATGAAATCTTACTTGCGTCTCCTCCGTTGAGTGTAGTGCGTGGTGCAAAGCGAGTTCATGCTGCTCCCTGGCACCGTAGTCCGCACGCCTCTCGCCGCCGCCGTAACCGAATCCGCCGTGTGAAAGCTGCAAAGGAAGGAATGTTAAAATTCCACTCCTCGTCGTTTCTGATATCCTGGTAAGAGATTAAGTAGCAAACAAACTAAATTGTTCTTTATTAGTTGGGCGGATGGTTATGGGAGTTTAGAAATTCGTTCCGCGATACATGTTGTCCTGGTATTTTTAACACACATTGGGAGTGGTGCGGATGATTTAACTCACTCACTGTAAACGAAGCCGCCGTGCGACAGTTACAAATGAAGGCCATTTTAATATTTCGCTCCTCAACGTTCCTGATATCCTGGTAAAAGATTAAATAGCAACCAAACTATTTTTCATCAGTTGGGCATTTTGATGCTTATTGGAGTTTGGAAATTCGCTTTGCGGATGGATACATTTGACGACATGTTGTCGTAGTATTTGTAGTCTTTATTTGTAAAAACACATATCAGGAGTTGGGCGTAGAATTTACCCATTGAGACCGAAGCCGCCGTGCGACAGCTGAAAAGGAAGTGTCGATTTTATACATCTTCCATAATGTCCCATGATAAGACACAAAGTAAGAAAACTAAAGTGTCAGTTGGGCATTCGAACGATTATGGCTTTAGAAATTCAGAATTTGAGCGAAGGCTTTCTCCCTTTGTCGCCACCTACCTCGGGATGAAATGTGTGTTCTTTCCCGGAGACCCCACGGGTGATTAACGTAATTGTATGAATATACCATATTATGAACTCCTTCCTGGTAACTTCGAGCAAAATTATTTATGTGGAAACATTTCCTCCATAAATTATTGAATAAATATAATATTTGAAATAAATATTATTCTATTTTATTTTATTTAGAAAACTTACAAAAATGCTACGCGCGCTAAAAGTCGATCTGACAATATGTTAATGGGCGGCATGAAATTAAAAGCATGAAGTTAGTCCATAAATCTCTCTTCAGTAATGTGTCAAAACAACATTATTGATGTTTGACACATTATTTATAGGGACTAGTGGCCGCCCAGTGGTCGAAATTCGACAATAACTCATTATATATAGTAGGGTGAGTAATGTTTTTCTTATTGATTTAATGTATGTTTTATGCATAATTAAAAAAATATTAGCATTCTACACTCCTTCTCTATATAAACTATAAATGTGGGAAATTTCAAACTCCTCCGTGCGCGCAATTTTCACGTATATATTATATATACAGGGAGGTTCAGACTCGGTAGTATTATCGTTTATTGAAATAAAAAACAAAGTTATTTTTCCAATGGATATTTATGAATGACTACCGCATTGTCAAAGCGGTAGTGATTCATAAATATCTAAATTTTACTGTGCACGAACCTGTGTGCGTGTTAGTTATGAATGATCGCGCGTAAAATAAATGAGTTGCGTATAAATCACGCACTTTTTGAGATAAGTTCAAATTAATGTAATTAATTACTTAAGAGTCATTTTAATTACTTATTATTTTCTATATAACATTATTTATGTAAAATTTAATTAAAAAAATGGATTCACTTAGAAAAGCCACCCCGTATAAATATATTGGGAGATTGAATAACTACATAGTTTCATGTTTATTTTTATTTTGTGATACCAAAGAAGAATAACGTCGTACGTACATAAGTACATACACACCTTTGTATTTAAATAATATTCAGTCATATAGCGATATAAGCTATATGTATAATACTTGCGTTTTATCAAAAATTATGATTCGTTTCTATAATGATATTGGTTTGGATAATAAATCTTTATTAGAAACTCAATCACGAAATGACATCTAGCAAGTTCCCTCCAAAAAGCATTGTGTGTATAAAGAATTCCGTTAGAATTCCAGAGCATAACCGCAGCCAATCTTTTAAAGTGGGGCCGAACTAACCGCTCATAACCTTTTGTTGCCATAAAAATAGTCTCATCTTCCTTTCGTCTCTTTAATATCATATTAATTTGTCAAATGACATTGCAGCGTTGAAACTACATCAAACTATACAAATATCGTATTACTATTAGCGTTAATAATTCATATAGGTATGATTTTACAAAACGATCGTGTTTTTATGCTGATATTCATGCTATTGCATTAATAGGCGAATTAGATGTAAAGTAAAAGTTTTTATAAATTTCGATTTCTTAATAGGGGTTTTAACCACTGCACGTCAGGTACTACACTTTTCAACTGTATTATTTCCATCATCTATCAAAGAAGAAAATGATATAATGACAATTTGATTTTCTTAGAAAATGTATTGTATAATTAATGTAAGGTTTGTCTAATATCAACATAGTATCGATAGGAGGTTATTCTACACAGAAATCGGATAGGTTTTTCCATATTAAAAACTACAATTTTTATACAATATATACCATACGAAAAAGCCCGAGTTGATGTACATTCTAGATAATCGCAAATTAAATTCTTCGGTGTTGTATTGAACCGTATATGATATTAATAACATAATTATTCCGCCGCTAGATCGGGAAGGATCTAAGAAAATATTTGAAGACTGCCAATGGGGGTGCATGCGTCGCATTCCAAGTTGAGGGGGCAAATAGTTGCAGAGTTTTGATTATCAATCGATAATTCCGGCTACACTATATGGTAATGATGAAATCTCGTTATTTTAACGTAATGGACGTGTTTTGCGTTTATACTGGTGAGTGAGGTACCTGGGTTCCACTTTACTAAAAGGTGTAAACGCATCTGCAAACGTACGTTTGTTGAAAATATCAATGTGCGACGGTTATCACTTAACGTCAGGTAAACCGCCAACTCGCTAGCCACCTTAAGTAGAAAAAAATAAAAGAAATAATGACGGTGACACGGTTGATGTGCTTACGTGGTGCGTGTGTATGGCGTCGTGGTGGTCTCTGTGGTGGCGAAGGTGCGCGTGGGGCTCGTGGTGGCCGTGGTGGCGCGGTAGCAGCTGTTGGGGCGCGTAGTGCTGCGCGTACTCTGCCCCACCACCACCCCCGCCGCCGTACTCCATGCCATGGCTCTGCACATAATAAATTGAGGGATTATTGACGCGCGCAGATTAATAATATAGCTGCGGTACTAGGCTGTTAAAAATGTAGCACTGTTACTAAGTAAGCTTTTCTCATAACATTACTGGTATAGTCTAAAGTTTTTCATTCTCATAATATTGGAATAGTCTGGAGTTGTCAGTATAGCACTGGCCACACGTGGCTGAAGACTTGGTCAAAAAAGAAAGAAGAAAAGCGGTCTCACTTGCTGTTGGTGGTGTGGGCTGGCGGGGTGAGCGGTGGGGGCGAACGGCGGAGGGAAGTACGGGGGCTGAAAGTCGGCCAGGGAGGGCTGCGCGCCGCCGCGGAACCCCCCGCCGCCCAGCCCCAGCCCGCCACCGCCGAGGCGCTCCTGTTGATGGGAGCAACTTGTTTGAGCGGTTGCACTTTTATAGGTACAGAAGTTAGCAAAAAAGGTAGTGGGTATGTACTTATATTATTGAGATATAGAAACGAGTATGGAAGATATATAAATACATAGGAAGAGTAATAAGAAGGCGCTGCGTATATTTTAATTTATTGAATTTATTTTTTTAATACCTTAAATTGTTTCCAAGTAATTCCCTATTTGGTGTGTACGAGAAATTCATTTAAACAATAAATAAAAAGACAAATGCACTTACATTAACTTAGTTGGATAACAATTTTTAGCTCTGTATTCATTTTATAATTGATTTACAGGAGTTCCCTATCTCCGGAGCCCAAGATCCAATACGAATGAAATTGATATTCTAAAAATTGCTTACTTAAAAAGAATATAAGTCCATTTTGATTTCGACAATTGCGATATTAAATTATTGTCAGATAAGATTTTTTCAAAATCTAAGAATTCTTAAAAGAGCGAACCGAATTCAATTCTACTTTACTTCAAAAAATTACTTCAAAAAGAGTTATATTTTATCTATTTCACTACAAATCAATGTAGTTTTTAGGTGTGATTTATTAGAAATAATCACGTAAGGAAAGACCGTTATGCCGTCGTATTCTTGTTCGTTCCTTGACTTAATATTTTTTTCTTTGTTTAGGTACTGTAGAAGGCTGTTATTCATGACATACAGCAAATAAATACATCAAATATTTGTATATAAATATGATGTTATAATATTAATAAGATGAAGAAGTGATTTTACGGACTTCTTTCAGCTTGTTGATAGTTGATATAATATCAATCTGATTATAATTTTTACTTTCTTTAAATTATCGTGAAATTTCTCTAGCGGTTGGTGTATTATTCATCAAAATTGTGATCAGAACTGTCGCGTGTAAACGAACAAATTTTACGGAAAAAATGAAGACTGTTATAGATTTAGTAATCAGTGTTATTGTTAAACGAGAGATGTTAAGGAGTTCTAACGCTTTAACATAAATTTTTTTAATTCCTAATAAACATTGACGCAGTCCAGTCATGACCTTGACCATAAATGTACGTGGTGACAAAACACGATGGTGCATCGCAATAATTATAAAGTCTCGGTGGCTCGGTTATGATGACTTGGTTAAAAACCTAATGTGAAATACGTCATTCGTCTTTCGGTCGCGTACCCGTCAATTGATAAGTACAGTCACAGCAAATATATGCTATTACAGGTATACAGAACATTGGTAAAAAGAATTAAACATACTTATGAACTGAAAAGAAAAAGAAACAACAGGAAGTGGACGCTGACACAAGATAAATGATAGTAAATTAAATCTTATCCTTTAAACGAGCAATTCTTGTATATATATATATTCTTGTATATATATATATATATATATATATATATATATACAAGAATTGCTATAGATAGATTTATATATACAGCGTGTCGTTACCAACGCGACAATAAATGAACACACATATAGAGGATAACTTTTTAAAATTGTATCAAAAATTTACATTCTTTAAACATCAATATTTACAGAGTTATTAAATTTTCCAAAACAAAGAATTTTAGAACACCGTTACGTATAAAACTGTAACGTAAAGTTCATTTGTAAAGGTCTTTTAACGTTAATTTTTTTTATGATCATTGGCAAGTAGCGTTAGACGTGTGTTAATTTATTGTCGCGATGGTAACGACACGCTATATATATATATATATATATATATATATATATATATATATATATATATATATATATATATATATATATATATATATATATAATTTGAATCTCGGAAACGGCTCCAGCGATTTTCATGAAATTTAGTATGTGCGTAGATTCGGGGGATAATCGATCTAGCTAGGTTTAATTTTTAGAAAATGTCCTTTTATCCCTGTTTTCAGGGAATGAAAAATATAATTCGAATATGACGGTAAATTTCGCCGCAGGAGAAAATGTCATAATAGCTCGGTCGGTAATCGGGCGGCCCCAAAACAGACGGCCGTGGTTCGCGTCACGATCATTTACACATTTATTTTTTTACTTTTTTTTCGATTCCAGATCATTGCTTTCTTTATTTTTAATTTTTTGTCGATTTGTTATTTTGTTATTTTTTTCCCTTGTTTTAAAGTTCTTTCTTTTGTGAAAAACATCAGTTCATATTTTCTTATTATTACGTCGGTAAGATCGAAAAATATTATGCATATTTCGTTACTCAGTAATTTGTATCTAAATGTAATTTCCAAAATACACGATTTACCAAAAAAAGAAACAAACCGAGCAAAGCTCAGTCCTCCGGGTACTTAATTCTTACACAAGACAACGAATATGCTTAAATTTAAATTCTAACATGCTAATAAAGAAAACAATTTCTTTTAAAAACGTTAAGAGAGTCGTTATTAATATCAGTTCGGCATTTAATGCGACAAATAGTTGTATTAAGACAAAACTCTTGAAAATGACTTATGAAGTCCTAAATTGGTGCTATACGGGTGATATATAATATGGTGTATATAATATTTAAATGGTGGGACCTCCATCTTTTACAATTGTCACCCTACGAAGTGTTCGATACGTCGGGATTGAAGACATTGTACGAATGGTCTCGTTTAATAAAGTGCAGTCGCGATAACACTATTAATCATTTATCGCTGTTATTCTAATTTCTATCAGCAAGTGGAAGAATATCTGACATGGATTCTAATTCAGAGTTCTCGTGCCAACATCAATGATAGATCGCCGTTACAATAAATCCATTCGGCATTTACCTACAGCATAATTAAACTCGGAGCGTCCGCTATCCGTTATAACACACTCGTTAGCCGACTCTTAATTTGTTACAATACAATAGTGTAATTTCGTGTAGGGAAATTGACTTTTTATATCGCATAACAGACCGCCGTTCATTTGGTAATTAGTTGATTAATGCAATCAACTAATTAGGCACGTGTTAGATGCTTTTTTCGACACGTCAATCTCCGGCGAAGATTACTCTCGTTCTAGATACGCTGTGCGGATACAGTACATTTTGTGTCTATGACGTGCTTGAAACTTGGTTTTTAATTTATTGTAATAAGCCAAGCATATCCCACTGCTGGTTATGTGCATCTCTCCCCTTTTACCTTTGAATTATGTTTGATTTATGTTTAAAATAGTGTAACACGTTTACAAGTAGTATTTGATTAAATGTAAAACTTTCAAGATTTAATTGATGTTGAAATGTTCGTTAGTGCGTAGATCTTTGCTCACGAATCTTATCTTGAATTTGATTTCGAAACCAAAAGCTCGATTTTATCAGCGGCGGCCACCAAAGAGTTTATTATAATTTTATCGAATAAAATTAAAGAGAATTGTAATGATTACTACAAATTACAACATACTACGTAGATTAGAACCAGCTTTTCACTGCTGTCGATTTGTTAACATAATATATTGTGACTAACTTGTAATCTATCAAAGTAGATATCAATGTTTTAAACATGTTGAGAAATGTTTAGTTTAAACCTCCCATATCTTATTTATTGAGATATAGAAGACTATAGAAAGGGACTTTAGGTACGAAATAAAGTCAAGATCTGCTGTATTGCTATCCGTCTGTCCCTATTTAGGCTTAGATCTTTAAAACTATGCAACGGATCTTGATGCGGTTTTTTTTAGTAGATAGAGTGATTCAAGTTTATATTTATAACACATTGCACCATGTATAATACGTGTGAAGCCGGTGCGGGTCGCTAGTCTTTATGAGATTAAAATTAAAAGTATAGTTCAAAAGTTCTTACTAACGAAAATATTTTTATTAATTAGCTTTATAAACAAAAGGAAATGCTTTTGTTTATAAATTAAATAAATCCCAACTATTAGTTATTTTGAACTCTCAATATTCCTTGATTAATTTGCAACATAGCCGAAAAACTGAGAGGTTGAGGGCCAATATAACTATATCTTGTTAATTTACTAAATCTTGTCAAATGTTTTATCAGACACAGGGAAATTAATGATCAAAAATGCGCTAAGGGTTTTTCAATTTTCAAAGTCTCTGCAAACTGTTAAAAATGACAACGTGCTCAAGGGTTTTATGTAATATAAAAAGTTGTGAAACGTAGCGGAAATTACATCGGAACTTAGATTTGCCTACACGTGAGATGTCATATATAACATAGATAAAAAATGCAACAAATAAATAAACCATAATATAGATAAAAAAGTGTAAGAGATGTAACGCGGAAAAGTTTGTCAAGACGAAATCAATTTTGAGTTACGTCGAACATTTGACACCACACCCGTTTTCTATTTCGTGCGAGCAACACTGGCGGCGCTCTTAAAAAAGATCAAATATTTTTCCAAACGACCTCTCCAATTTGTGTAATAAATTTATCAGAACCAACTTTTGAGTAATAGAATATTCGTTACTCTAATTAACGCCCATTACCCCGAATACCGACCTCGCGTTTAACGGAGCAGATCTGCCATCTCAATCTGGATCTATTGCCAAATATGAAAATTACCTCGAGCTGCCGCGTTGACTGGTATAATCGATTAAATTTAATTGATTTTTTATCTGTGCTCTCGTTACCGGATGTCGGGTGAAAATTATAACCTGTCCGAGTTATTTAATATAGGTGAATGGTGTCGAGCTACCATCATGATAACGTAACGATGAATGAAATTTATTGATGTAGATTTATAGTAGTACCTTGATTTTGGATGATTAGGTATTTTATAATATGCATCAGGTAAACTCTAAACATATGCTTTGAGCCGGAGATCAAGACTTGATTTGAGAAACTTGTTTCACAAGTTCCTTAATTTAAAATGTCTCACCATCATCATCATCAGCCGCAAGACGTCCACTGTTTAACATAGGCCTAACATTAAAACGCCACACCTAACGTCACTTTGCCATTTGCATTCACCAGTTGCCCGTGACTCTTACGATGTCGTCGGTCACCTAGATGGAGGCCTTCCCCATAGTTAAACGCACGCATGAGCACATGCGCGACACTACGCTAAGCGGAGGGTCCAGACCCGTGGGTTTTGGCTAGCCCACCGGTTCTGCGTCCGATGAAGCTTTAATAGTCTCGGGACTGAAAGCAAAAACATCAGTTAATACAAGATACAAGGAGGCCTTCCAACGCTACGTCTTCCGGTTCGTGGTTGCCTCTCGAGAACTTTTGCTCCCCATCGGTAATCTTTTCTTTGAGCGATGAGGCCTGCCCACTGTCAGTCCAACTTGCAAATCCAGAGAAGAGAGAAGCTTTGTCGGTGAGTCTGGTTCTTCGGAGAATTTCCGATATGTCAATAATTTATAACATCACAAACATATTTAAAATTGTAGTTTTCATCCTCGCATATACAAGTAACTACCATTATCAGTATTATTTTCTGGACAATTCGGCTATAGAATGGCAACAAACTGCCATCTCATTTTCGCTTTCTAAGATTTCGATCTGATGCCTACTTCAGTCATAGATAACGAGAATATAGTGAAGAAAAGCAAGCGTCTCGACGTCATAGCTGGGCAGTTTGGGCTTTGTTATTTTTTTTTTCTTAAATAAATATGTTGCATGCCATTGGGCTAATCTTTTACTTCAGAAAAACAAAATATTCAGTTCAAACAGATATCTATTTGAAACAAAAAGTTCATAGATAATAAAGGCATCTGAAATAATTAACATGGGCTAAAGCATTTCTCCATATAATATAGTTCTGAGAAAGCTTCAAATATGAATGGTTTTTTTCATTATAAACTCTTTTTTTCACTTATAAACTTTTGTGAAAAAATGGATATATTATGATTGCAACAATAAATGCGAAATGTGAAATCAGTACATCGACGACAACCCCTGGTTCGAGATCATCGTCATGACCCATCGATTGGTTCCGTAATTAGTGCTGTTTACTTTCTTGACTATAAAATAAACATTTGGTGTATTCAAAAACAACACTACACTACGTATATGCAATGAAATGCAATGCTGACGGTTCATCTGGTACTGTTATCTATTGATATATTTCATCAATCAAACGCAGCAACTACCGTATCTCTATTATAATAGCGTACAAATTGACCGATATACTTCTAAGCCTCATTAAAACCCGAAATATTTCGATCTATTCGTTACTCATATCGGATTGTGATGTACTTATAAGAGTGATGGGTTTGATAGTCTGCCATTGACAGCTTTAACGTTGTATTCGATGATTGTGTGGTATACATCCCGCGTCCCATGAGACGTTTTTACCACACATAATTCTGACTGAAAAAGGCAATAGTCAAAAGTCGAAAGTTTTAGTGGTTATGACCAGTCAAAAAAGTCATGATGCCGGTTATTTTTTATATCACCCTTGTTCCCTCTTGATTGTTACTAGTTATTCACGTATTTAGCAATTGATAGTATTATAATCTATAAAATGCCACCTATTAAATAGTAATTTAATAAATTAGAAAATTTACTCTAAGCTAAAGTTCATAAGTATTTCATTATGTAATGCCATTATGAACAGTGTTTAGGGTTAAATCCCTAGTGATAATAATTTGAGCAAACCATAGTGAGTTGTTTGAGTTATTATGAGTTAATTAACACTTTTTTAAAAATGATGAATGAGATAGCTCATTGTTCTCGCGCTTGCTTTCAATTCAATATACTCGATTAACATAAGTTCAATCACCAGTGTCGGCACCAGCGAACTTGTTAATTTGAAGTGCTGGTTTATTATGTTTTCAGCGTGAAACCTGCATATTTTCTAAATAATAACAGAATAATATTTCAAAGCCATGTGAATTCTGCCAATGGACTATGTCTATGGACAGAGGAGGCCTTTGCCCAGCAATAGGACATTTATAGGCTAATTTAGTTTCAATGCAATTTTAATAATCGAGTAAGTACACTGGCGGATGTACTGTTGTCATTCTAATAGTACTAACTAACAAAAACAAAACCGAAGTCAAATACCTCAATCACTATATACATTTTATATTTGGTTTTGAGGAGTTACAACCAACTGGGAACTTTCTCCTTTTTTTTAAGTCGGTTGAAAAGGCCAAAGTAAAGTTAATTTAACATTTTTTTTTCAATTTTGATGAGTCATAAACATATCCAAAACTGTAGGAATTAAATGGGGAACAAATCAGCCTCCATTGCCTTTTTTAATGTGAGACGTTGGCAACTGAATTGGCGGTACAATTGATGTTAATGATAGCAGCCCATTGATATTTGCAACACGGGTATGGTTGCAGATGCGTTGACACCTTATAACAGAGTTGGCCCCGGCTACCTCATTCAACAGACGAAACGCAGAAGTATAACACTTCCGCTTCTCGCCGGTCTTCTGTGAGGTCGCGGTACTTACCCGAACAGAGCTGCCCATGCAACAGCGAACACTTTTGCGTGGCCCTACCACAGTTATTTAATTTTTTAACTAAAATACCACGCCATTATATATTGTAAAGACATAGAATAAAATCGTCTTGTTTACCTGCACCTCTATCACACTGGACAAATCCACGTACGCCAGCGCCAGTTTTTCCGTTACAGGTTAACACAAAAGTAACCTATTCGTACTATCCGACCCTCGCACTTAACGTTTTAGCACATAATTAAGAACAATTGGAAATTTAAATAAAGAATATTCAACGGAACACATTCACTGTAAATACCTTTTTTAATCGATAAAGTGAATAATGAGGGGATTAAAACATCGATTACGCACGTATCGATCGACTCGATATACGCATTTAGTTGTTGCGCGGTGAAAGCGAACTTTACAGAAACAATATGTAAATCGGATTTCGACAATTACCGGTCCCTTGATAGGCGGATGATTCTGGCTGCGATCGGTTAGTGATTGCTTTTTAAATTGGTACCTTAACCCGAAAGCTCACCAGTCATTTTATAGCCGCCTGTATATAGTATATATATTGTGTTGTACACATTTTTCAAGTATCGTTAATCGGCGTCTAATTCAATTAAAAATTTAATCGATATTGTTCTATAAATCGATAACTTCATTAATCTACGCAAGCGATTAAGTTTTTTAATCCATTCGTTAATTAACGCACTACATTATTATTATGCAAATAAACGTACTGAATCGATTCTTCACGGCTAATGAAAACGGTTTATTTTGAAATCGTAAGGGAGATAATTAATCTGTGGTTAGTTAAACTTTTTTATTTCGGAGAAAAGTTCGCTGTTAATAACATAAGGTCGATAAAATTTTTGTTAGAATTGTTTATAGCGGTATGTACACATTTGTTAGGTAAAGATTTTAACATTTTTAATTAAAGACATTTTTAATTAAAGACAGTTATGATAACAAAATACTTAGGATAGATAAAATCTGAAAGATTGGCGTTGAATTAAGAATAAGGTTTAAGGGGCCTTTAAGACTTTTACGACAACACTAAATTAAATACTCATTACTTTTTAGTTTGATTCACAAAATAACTAACATAACTATGATTGGTCAAGTAGTCATTTGGAAATATCTCAACCAAAACAACAACATTTTGATATCAACTTGCCAAGTTTAAATCGAAAACTTACGCGAATTTATTACTCTTACGAATTTCAGCACGAATCTTATCGACTACTACTATTATACAACAGTTTTTTTAGATGAGTTTTATTTAAAAATCGAGTACTTTTACGTTGATTTACGATAACCGTGACTTGCTTCGCGAATTGATGGTCGCGACAAACGCGCGCGATGCCGTCTCGCGGGCAACTGCCGGAGGGCTGGCGAACCCCTAAGGCCTGGGGGCACACTTCGCTGTCGACTTCTCCACACGTGGTGACCCCGTCATCCTTACCAACGTACACAAAGTCGAAGGCAAGCACTTTTCGAAGGCTTCGCTCTTTTCTAAATGACCTAGTTGTTTTTCTATGGTTTAAAGTCGACCACACCCAAAGTTGTTAATGAACGCTTTACTAGCGTCCGATTATTATGTTTTGGGGCGATAAGGATATTAGAAATTTGTACTCGAACAATTAACAAAAAATTCAAAACGATGCAGTTTACTAGGATGTACGACCTGACCCGAGACACGTAAAAAAATATTTCCATTCATGTCAACTATTCTGAAATAAAAAAAATCTATGGTTGATTTGAATAAAAAAGCGCGTCTTTTAGTAAAATAAAATAAGATAATTGAAAACAAAAATATAAATCGACTACTTACTTTTGTCTTACTTAAGCATAGCATGCAATTCGAAATCAACTTAATTTATCGCTTAGTAAGTAAGCTCAGCATATGAATTTAAACTCGAAGAAAACTCGAAGCGAATTCACTTCAGCTAAGTGCGTCGACCACGCATAGTAACGTTCCACCCCTCCCTTCGGCGCTAATTAGAAGGTAGAGACGATGCTCGCGATTGGTGACTTTTCGCTCGCGCGGTGCACAATTGGCTTCATGTACGGGCTGTTAGCTCTGTTTAGTGTCACACTTCGATGCGCACGCTGTAGAGTTCGTTCGAGTTCTGAAAGGTCATTCGTTTCATTTAGTTTACGAGTTCATTGAATCGCCCTTCGGAGTACACGAGCATGTTATAATTTTCTATATATATATATTGATGCAATACAAAGCTCTAAAGGAAGTCGGCGTTTGTTTATCGAGTTCATTTAACTTATACGTGAGCACGTATGTATTTTAAACAAATCGTGAGTTGATACTTTTTTGTCTTTATCCTTGGCTGATTTGTTTTAATAGAGGCCATTAAGAATAGGTAATGCTTGTAGCAAAATTGTAGAAAATACGGGAAAATACTAGACCTATGAAAAAACTATTACTATATTCTTAAAATTTTTTCGTGTTATTTTGTAATTCGAAGCTC